TTCGGTCAAACTAATGAGGATGAACAATGCCATACCGTGTGCAGTGAAGGGAATCAGGGATGGAAAGTGGTTTTGCTCTATAATGATTTTTCTCTTTTGCAATTTCTCAACTGTGGAGAAAAATTTCACATTACATTAGGATGGAATTGGGAGGAATATGCTATGAATTATTCCCATGTAATGAAACAAAATATATTTATTTTCAAAAAAAATTGTTCATCATATCAACGGCACGAAATATTCTCAATATTCAATATTTTCTTTCCGTTCTATGAAATACGCCAATCTATATTGTAAGAAATACCAATTCTCGCGCCAAATGTCGCTGCTATCGGATGCTCTTTCGGCACTTTATATGAAACTCCTTTTTGATACCAAAATTTGATATTTTATAGAAACCCATTTTGATACCACAATTTTGATATTTTATATAAGCCCCTTTTGATACCACAATTTTGATATTTTATAGAAACCCCTTTTTGATACCACAATTTTGATATTTTATAGAAACCCTTTTTGATACCACAATTTGATATTTTATATAAACCCCTTTTGATACCACGATTTTGATATTTTATAGAAACCTCTTTTTGATACCACAATTTTGATATTTTATATAAACCCTTTTTTGATACCACAATTTGATATTTTATAGAAACCCCTTTTTGATACCACGATTTGATATTTTATAGAAACCCTTTTTGATACCATAATTTTGATATTTTATAGAAACCCTTTTTGATAGCATAATTTGATATTTTATAGAAACCCCTTTTTGATACCATAATTTGATATTTTATATAAACCCCTTTTGATACCACGATTTTGATATTCTATAGAAACCTCTTTTTGATACCACAATTTTGATATTTTATATAAACCCTTTTTGATAACGTAATTTGATATTTTATAGAAACCCCTTTTTGATACCATAATTTGATATTTTATAGAAACCTCTTTTTGATACCATAATTTGATATTTCATAGAAACCCCTTTTTGATACCATAATTTGATATTTTATAGAAACCTCTTTTTGATACCATAATTTGATATTTTATAGAAACCCCTTTTTGATACCACAATTTAATATTTTATAGAAACCCTTTTTGATACCATAATTTGATATTTTATAGAAACCCCTTTTTGACACCACAATTTGATATTTTATAGAAACCCTTTTTGATACCATAATTTGATATTTTATAGAAACCCTTTTTGATACCACAATTTGATATTTTATAGAAACCCCTTTTTGATACCATAATATGATATTTTATAGAAACCCCTTTTTGATACCATAATTTGATATTTTATAGAAACCCTTTTTGATATCACAATTTTGATATTTTATATAAACCCTTTTTGATACCACAATTTTGATTTTTTATATAAACCCTTTTTGATACCACAATTTTGATATTATATATAAACCCTTTTTGATACCACAATTTTGATATTATATATAAACCCTTTTTTATACCACAATTTGATATTTTATATAAACCCTTTTTGATACCACAATTTTGATATCATATATAAACCCTTTTTTATACCACAATTTGATATTTTATAGAAATCTCTTTTGATTCCACAATTTTGATATTTTATATAAACCCTTTTTGATTCCACAATTG